GATTTTGCTTCTTGGCCATTGTCATTAGTTTGGCGCAAATAAATTCCTAAAAATTCTCTACAGGTCTGGATATTTCTTAGGTCAACAATAACTATCTTTAAATCACTTACACTTTGCTTTAGGTAAAGAGGCTTGCCCACTATTCCCAAAGCAAAACTCTTGCTTTTCCAACATTTGTTTAAGGTATTTTCTCTGCTCAGAACATCAGCTCCTTACCCATGTTGGTGTTTGAATTCCATCCCTCCTGCAAGGCCCATCTTTAAAACTAATTCATCCACAATTCTTTTCCTCATTGCTTCAATTAAATGTGATTTCTCACTCTGAAGAAGTTGGAAGGCTGCCACATATTCTACAAAATCCATCAATTCTGAACTATTTGTGACCATAGATACAGTTACATGCAATTGAGAACAATCTTATTTCATCTTAGTATATAAAATGACTATGATATAGGGTGATAGTTTCTATGAAATTGAATCTGCTGTGATTTCTTCATTCACCTCTGCTGTAATAGAAAGATGGCATTCATAGCTGCCTGCCTATAGCTTTGTAGCAAAATTGCTATGTATGACTTTTGTGATTATCTTTACCATTACTTTGGAGCTCAGATTTCACTCTTAGGCCCTAAAGTACACTTTTTAAAATTATCTTTGCTCTTAGTGTTTAGTATTTATATGATCCTAAATTTACCTTAAATTTTATGACTTAGAGAATGAAAATGGGTTTAGATTTAATATCTATGATTTCTTTCTCTGATACTATTATGCATGTGTTTGAAAACCAGGAGAACACTTACTTTTGTTTTTTTGGATCACTTCATAGCTTCCAAATTCAACTTAAGTCTCATGATGTAAAGCACCGCACAAGGAGATATTAAGTGCACTGTGTGATATAACGCTTGAGGTCAGTGCTTCTAGCACAGAGGAAAACAGATGAGTCTCTGAGATGTCAGTGTATTCTTTGTTCCAATTTCAGTGTGCTAGGTTGCTGTTTATCAAGGTTTTTTAAAAGTCATGCTTGTGAGAGAGTAATCAATTTTATTCCTTAGAGGCTAGGGGGAAAATACATATCTGCACATATAGCTGGTAGGGATATAGTCCTTTTTTTCTGATAATGGTATTTCAAGATGATTCAAATATTTTGAGGTGGAGTGAACATTCTGTTCCAGTTGCGATCTCACTTTGAAATGAAGAAGCTAAGACTCAGGGAGTTTAAATCACAACTGTTTGGCAGTAGTAAGATTGCTAAACATTAAAAAAAAGAATTCAACAATAAATGAAGGGCCAAATAAATTACATCAAAACAAGCAAATAAAATAAAAATAACATACACAAACACCCCTTACTGGTGACTGGATTAGTACTCTAGTCTCACTTAATACCATTTGGGTTTTAACCCAGGTGCAGAATCTTTTCTTTTCCATCACCATTCAGTCTTTTTAGGAACATAGAAATGCCCTTCACTCATCCAAATGAATTTCTGAATTATGGGTTCTTAAACTCATTTGTGCCATGGACACTTTTGGTTGGCTGGTAAAAGGAACATTTTGAGAATAACATTTTTAAATGCATAAAATAAAATACATGAGATCAAAAAGAAAATCAATTATAATGAAATACAATGATCAAGATACGAGAAAAATAAATTTGTTTTCAAGTAACATGTGGTTATATTAAAGAGCAAGATAAGACAAATAACATTTAGTGTCAATCAAATGACTACCATAATTTCAAAGTAATAATGATTTTAACATTTGTTACACAAATGTTAAATTAGATGTTAAATTAGAATTTGCTGCAGCAATTCTAATTTAACACAAAAGTATCTGTGATTTCTAGAGGTGCCCAAATCTCTGATATTACTAAACTAATACATTTTATTTAGTGGCTATTACAGAAATATATTTTTTCTCATCCAAGTTCATGAAACCTTCTGATAAATTTGTAACTTTATTGGTTCCCTTGAGTACCCCTTCCCAGTGGGTGACACTTCCCACACTGATGCTAGGCTTGCTGCTTTTGGCCAGCGGGACATCAATCACTGGGCGTGTCCTGCCAGAAGCCTACTTTGCCAAACAAAGAAACCTGGTCTGAGCCTTTTGAGGATGAAAAAGAGAAAGAGGCACAGGCTTCCCAGCCATCCCAGCTGAGCCCAATCTCCAGCCCTTAGCCCCACAAGCAAGTTGTTAGCCCAGGTGAGAGCAGCAACTCTCATGACAATGAGAAATAATAATTGCTTCTTGTTGTAAGCCACTAAATTTTGGACTCTTAGGTTAGGATACATAATTGATATGAACTCCTGAATTCTATTCACTGACCCTTTGGACTCTGGATTGAGACCTGTGAGTGTTTTTCAGTACTAGCATTTGAAAGCTCCCACGGTTTAGAGATCACCAACTCCTTTCATCTCTTAAGCGTGAGTCCCTGATCGGCAGCATCCACAACCCCAGGTGCCTGTTGGAAACGCAGCACCTCAGGCTTCACTCCAAATCTGCTGAGTCAGAATTTGCATTTTGTCAAGACCCGCAGGAGATTGGTATAACCATTAAAGTTTGCAAAGCACTCGAAAGTATAAACATTAAAGTTTGAGAAGATGAGCCAACCCCTTATTTTCTAGTTAATCTTTCCTTTCAAAAACTTTTTATTCTCCATTAGAAATATTCTCTGGCTAAGTGTTATGTTTCACCCCACCTGGGGTGAGCTGAAGTCCTACTGCCTCCTGACTATTAAAACGCCCCAGGAGTGCTGTTTGGGCTCTTTTGTGTCTGTAGGTCTGCAGTGGCCTTTGTGTCAAAAGGCTATGCCACGGAAGGACAGGGGGTTTATAGGCACGTGTAGGTTGCTGGAAACACAGGAACGAAAGAACGAAAGAATGAATGAAAGAAAGAAAAATCCCCCAAACAACCAACCACTAATTCCAGGAACAGATAATCCCTTTAATGAGTAAACTAGAACTCTCCCTACAAAGGTTAATTTGTTGTCCTTAAGAATTCGGGTACTTCAGCCGGATGTGGTGTCCTCTGGTATTCCGTGCGCTGAGGCCCGGAACTCCAGCAGGTGGCTCGCGAGGGTGCCGGGTCACGCGCTGCCGGCGAAGGCCCACGCAGTTTGTCCCCACACAGCTCCCATATAATGCAGGTACGCCCCTGCCTGGGGCAGCAAAGGCGCTACGCCGGCTTTTTCCCGAAGCTGCCGGCCAGCCCGCCGTTACCGCGCATGCCCGGCCTTCTCCGGAATCTGTCACCGAAGGTTTTACCACAGCCGGGTGGTCAAATGTGCACACAGCTCTGCACCTTGGCACTAGGAAAGAACACCCAGGGTTTTCAGTGCTCTAGAAACCAAAGGGGCGCTGATACTGGGCTACCTACCTGCGGGGCTTTACGGAAGCTGATGATATAGTGATTCCTTTTCTGAGTGGGTCACATGTTTGCAGGGATCATCTCAATGCATTAACCAACTCCTCATGGAATTGTTACTGATTTGCAGTATGGTAAAAGCCTCAGAGGCGTCCAATAATTCAGACTGCAGGGCCCCAAAGCTAGTGTTGGAGCTAGCGCTCAAACCCTGGAGCCCAGCCTGCACTACTTTCGACCTCCATTATAGCTTGGCTTCCTGGAGGAGCAACCCCACTTACCTGGTCCTGTCCCCTTTATTTGAACTAGGGCTGCAGTTAGGCACCCCTGGGTGTCTTGGGGCTGTGAAATACTGGCAGGGAGTGGGAGGGATAGGGCAGAGCATCCCTTTGTAGCCCCATTATGGACTTGGGAGCCAAAGTGGATCTTGAGGGCTGAGCACTGTATTTAGTGGAGTCTCCTGTTCCCCTGTATTAGCTACGGGGCAGGGACAGTGGAATCTGGGCGGTGGTGGTGGTGGTGGTGGTGGTGGTGGTGGTGGTGGGGCTGTTGTGCTAAGCCTCCCTGAATAGAGAAGCAGGAGGGAGGCGGAGCAGATGTCTTGTTACATATGGGCTGCAGGTAATCCTGTGGCTCATAGGTGGGTTCTTGGGTATGTGTAAATGAATGCACAAATGCAGGCATGACTGACTGACTGAATTAATGTACATCCTGTGGATAGGGGAAGAGGGACTCACTAAAAGTGGCTGGGTAAGACCTCATTTCTATTAGAAGCCCTAACTCTTAGCAGGGGTGTTCAACCCACTGCCCCTGGGCTGCATGCAGCCCAGAATGGCTATGAATGCGGCCCAACACAAAATTGTAAATTTACTTAAAACTTTTTTTGGCTTATCGGTTTTTGTTAGTATTTGTGTATTTAATGTGTGGCCCAAGACAATTCTTCTTCCAGTGTGGCCCAGAGACGGGATGGACACCCCTGCTGAAGAGAGGGTCCTCCCCACCCCTAAACTCTTATGATTAAAAGTAAACTACTAAGCTGTAAGTGCGAAAAGGTTCAACTAAGACCTGGTTTCAGCCAAAATAGCTATATTTTCCCCACATTAAAAACATCTAGTACCTTTTTAATTTTCATTTCTCAGTAGCCCTGCAGGGTCCAAAGCCCATGCTTGGACAGCCTTCAAGTTGCAGAGAGGGCCCTAGAGGGGTTCCCCACTAACAAGCTGTGACAATTGCTGTGCCTGTTTCTTCCTCTTTAAATTGGATGCACTAACTCCTGCACTGTGGGGCAAAGCCAGGTCGCTGTTTTAGGCTGAAATACTGTTTTTAGTAATCTGTCCTCCAGGACTGGTCCTTGCCCTGGCCCTGAATTTCTGCGACTCCCTCTTCTTCCTCCCCAGTTTTTAATGGAATAAGGTTGGGGTTCCAGTCTTCCTGAAATCACACTGCCTTGGTCACTGTCGGTGACTACCGTGCCACTGTTTTCAGTGAGATCTTCCCAACAACGTGACCTCAGGCAGCAGCGCTCCAGCCTCCCGGCCCCGCCCTTGTACGCCTCCCAGTAAAGCCCAGGCTCGCGCACGGATCACGCGGGTTGGAGCCTGTCTGAGCATGCTCAGTGGCGGGGCAGGTGGAGCCGCCGCGGGGCGCCTAGTCCTGGCGGAGGGGGCGTGGGCGGGTCTGAAGGAAGTGGGCGGGAGAAGCGCAGGAGTCTCGTAGCCCGCAGCTTTGGTGAGCTGAGCAGGTTTGATCCCCAGCTCGGGCTGGTCCGGTATGATCAATGGCATCGGTCAAGGTGGCCGTAAGGGTCCGGCCCATGAATCGCAGGTGAGTTGGGGGCAGTGCAAGTGGCTCCCCTAAGTACCTCCACTCGGAGGAAGTTGGTCTCTGACGCCCTTCCAAGGCCAGCCTGGACTTAAGTGTTACGGGATGGTGTCTGGCCCGCTGGTCCCTGCCTGTGGCCTCTGGGGGTCCGGAACACTTTAGGCTTTGCTGTCCCTTTCACGCTGCCCCGGAGACCGTGGGAGGTAAAGAGTTCAAGAGGCACGGAGAAGATTTCTATAAACTCTTCCCCACTCCATTAACTTGAGGTTTGCTTGTTCTCCTTTAAAAAAAAAAAAAAAATCAAGGGATCACTTTCATGAAGGTGTAAAATCCTTCGGGGCATGAGAGTGGTCATGGGGCTCCACAAGCTGTCAGACGAACTCTGCTCAGTTATGCTAACTCAGAAGTTCTTTTGAGTATTAACAATGATATCTTTAAAAAAATAATAAGAGATGATTTCGTGTGAACCCTAACTTCTAATCAGTAATTTACAGTTCTTCAGATTAACGAGCGTATAGGAAAACTTTTAACAAAGTTTTGACTCCCGGGGGCAGGAGGAGGACACTTAAGTACACGTGTTTGAAATATGCTGACAGTAACAGAGGGGGAGAGTTACAAACACATGTAGAATTTATGTTCTATATTGCTACAAAGTAGTGCTCTTCAGAATGGTTTGAATCTTCATATACCGAAAAATAATCTCGATTTCCTTTTCACTGATTTCTTTCAATCAGTTTGAAAAGATGCATTAGAAGAGTTACTTTTAAAACTGGTTTAACTTTTAAGAATTAAGTGTCCTCTGCGTTCATAGACACAATTCACACAAGGCCATTCGTTTGTATTGCCTCTCAGTTGTTGGTTGTTTGACCAACCGTGTGGTCTTTCCCCTGGCCCTCCTTGCTTGGTAGTTCTGACAGGTGATTGGAACATCACAAGATCCTAAAATCAGGAGATTGCCAGAACCTTCTTTGACTCATCTGATTCTCTTTTTCTATTGGCGAATAGGGATTTTTTATAATGGTTTATAACTGTATTTTTGTGATTTTCATGTTATTTCTAAGGTTTTTTGGGAAGGAGTTTCACTTTTCTGTAAATTCTAAGAGAATATGTATATTTCTATATATATATTCAGTCACACAAGACAAACGGACCCCAAAAGCATTTAGATGATTTAAAAAATTTTTTCTTGTTCTGGATTTACATGTACTTTATAGATGTTCCTTTCCTTCTTTGGAATAACCTGAGCACCTGCCAGAAGATTGTATCCAGTAACTTCAGAGAACATTTGTTAAGCACCTACAAATGCACAGCAGTGTGCTGGGTGCCCTCTGAGGGCCAGGGTGAAGGAGGCAGGATGAATGTCTTCTAGGAGCCCACTGTGTGGTGAGGGAGGGACAACGTGCTGGCAGAACTGTAAAACATTTAGTGCAGTGCCTTGTTGTTGTAGGCCCGGAGCCCAGGTTTATGGTGAGATGGCAGGGAACACGTCCAAAAGTCATGTGCTCTAAGGAGGTAGATTGAAGTGATGATATTTGTGCTGTCAGCAGAGAACTCTGGTGGCATCAGGATTGGGGCCAAAGGTAAGGAAGCAGCAGTTCCGGCTAGAGGTGGGGATGGGAAGGCTGGATAGATACACCAAGACAGTTACTGGCAGAATTGACAGGATTTGGCAGCTTCTTGGATAAGAAGGAGGGATGAAGAGCAAGGTCCCTGACTGAGGTTTGATGATGAAGGAAGTGGAAGATGTTTGGGAAGGTGGAGAGTAAGGTAGCTATGTTCTCTCTTGGATATGCAGAGTTGGATGAGATACAGTAAATGGCAAGTACAAGCACAGTGTCCAGCACAGAGTGAGTGCTGCTTGCATGTTGACCCAGTTTGTTATCTGGAGTATGGTAAGGACTTCCATCCCTCTATGGTCTTCAGTAGACAGACCCGTAGGTTTAGGTCTCAGATGATCTGAGGATTGACATTGGGAAGTCTTTGCACATAGATGATATTTTAAGAATGTTATAGTAAGAAAAGGGAACCAGAGATTTGCAATTGAGATATGCTTGCTCCTCTTTAGGATTCCAGGGAGAAGATTGGCTTGCACCTCATGGAGAACCAGCACAACAAACTGTCATGGCAGGGAAAGAAGCATTTCCTGAGGGAGGTGGTTGTTGGTGTCAGATTTTCCCAAGATGGTGCTCTGATGACTTGAGTAAGATGAGGTCCTTGGTCTTGGAGAGAAGGGCATTGATAATCTTTCAAAGAGCAGTTTCAAGGAGAGATAATGATCTAGAAGTTTGCAGTGAAATGGGAAGAGATATACAAATGGCCAACCAAAAATACTAGACCTACTAGACCTCATAAGGAAAGACATACAAATTATAAGAGCAATAAGAAACCATTTTTTATCAGTGAGATTGGTGACTGTAAACAGAACATCAAGTGCAGCTGAAGGCGGGTAACAGAAGCATAAAGGGTCAAAATCTCTAAACTTTGTATTGAAAATTTTAATAGTAGTTATAAAGATTAGAATTATATAAGCCCTTTGATCAGGCAATTTAATTTCTAAGAGTTTATTTTATGGGTTCTATTCCTACCTACCCAAGATGTGTGTATGGATGTTTGTTTAAATCATTATTTGTAACAACAAAAAATCATTAGTGACCTAAATGTGCAAAGTTGGAGGATTTAAGGTATGGCATATTTGTTTTCTGGAATGCTGTGCAGTACTTAACAAAAGAATGTGTTGATAAAACAGTCCAAGATAGAGGACTAAGCAAGAGATCCACACATACTAGAATAGAGTTGTATGGATTCATGTTAAAAACATATATGAACATGCACACATACACACACATACATGCACAGGACTATGTCTGTGTAGAATGACTCATTAGGAGCCTGGAAGTGGTGGCTCCAAAGAGGACCAATGAAGAATGTGTTAGGTGAAGACTGAAAGCTTCTCTTTTTTTTCTCTTTTTACTGCTTGAAGTTTTACTTTGCTCAGGCATAGTTTTATATTTAATAATTAAAAGTTGTTAGTGTAATTTTTAAAAGTTACCTAAAAAATCATTGGCACTGGAGAATGACTTTTTAGCTGGTTGTTTGGAAAGATTGAAGGAAGTTGTCAATTTTTTTTCTTCCAGTTATTAAGTTTAAGGTGTACAGCATAATAACTTGACTTACATATATTGTGAAGTGATTACTATAATTAGTTGAGTTAGCGTCCATCATCTCATATAATACAAAAACAGTTTTTCAGTGTGTTACATGAGATGAGAACTCTTAGGACTTACTCTTTAACAACGCCAGCTGTACCACACAGCAGTGTTAACTGTAGTCATCATGTTGAACTTGACATTTTCGGTTCTTAAATTGTTTTATAACTGGACACTTGTCCCTTGAGACCACCTTTGTCCAATTCTTCCACCCTTTGCCTCTCCTAACCATTATCTGATCTGCCTTTCTGTGAGTTTTGTTTGTTTGCTTGCTTATTTGATTGCTTATTTTTGTTTTTAGAGTTCACATAAAAGTGAGATCATATGAGATTAGCCTTTTTCTGTCTGACTCATTTCACTTAATATATGTACTCAAGGTCCATTCATATTGTCACAAATGATAGGAATTTCTTTTTTTTTAATAATGGAATGATAATCGTTCCATGGCGTGTGTGTATATGTATGTAGGTATGTATGTATCAGCCACAGTTTCTTTATCCATTCATCTGCTGATGGATACTTAGGTTGTTTTCCATGTCTTGGCTACTGTAAATAATGCTATTAACATAGGGGTGCATATATAAATTTTTTAATGTTAATTTTTAGAGTAGAGGAGCTTCAGGCAAAGAGGAAGCAGCCAATAGAAAGGAAAGTCCTGGAGTGTCTGGAAAATGTGGGCAGCTGTTGCAGTGAGGCTCTTAAGGAATGGGGGCAAGGTCTTAAGATACTGACATCTTGGGCTACAAGCCTTGGCAGTAACCAGTTCTTGCTAGGAACACCTGATGCTTGATTCAGGCCACGACGTGTTTAATTTGTTTCTATTATCTTGTAATTTTTGGTTATGTGGCAAAGTATTAGTTTCAAATTTAAAGAACCATTATGTTGTATCACGTAATAATAGCATCTACCTTTATTGAGAATTTGCTCTGTGCCATATTTGCAGCAGGTTTAGTAGGTAGAGGTTATTACTGCCATACCCTTTTACAGTTTGGGAAACATAGTTAATTGCCCAAAATCAATTTCTTAGGACAGTCACAGCTCTGATTTTTAAAATGAGTAAAACTTTAGCAGAAATGTAATCACTCAAAACTTTTATAGGCAAAAGTTTAACATTTATTTATATATTGTCTATATACTTTTTATTGTGTGCGTGTGTGTGTGTGTGTGTGTGTGTGATTTCTTCCATTGTTCTGATGCCTAATCTTTTTACTGGTTTCATATTTTTACAATTTTATAAGATACAATTGTTTTGTACTCTGAAGAGACAAGCAAAATAACAATTTAGTAACTAATTTGCCCATTTCCTGTTGGTATCATGTGCTTATTTTTTCGTGGAAACACTAGATGATTCCTCAGGGCTGTGAGGTCCCACTGCTCTGACAGTGTCCCCAGGGCCAGGGTCTGAGGGCAGCCTGCCCTGGGTCCCAGGTTTGGCTGTCATTTATGAGCTGGCTAAATTTGAGCACTGACTTAATTGTTGTAAGCCTCAGTTTTTGCATCTGAAAATTGTGATAGTAATTTTTGTATACCTTAAAAGTTGTGAGAAGAGGCCTTTTTTCCAATATATATATTTTTCTACTGTGACTCACAATAAGAAATGTTTTAAACTGAAACTGGAGATAATGTAAAAGATTCATGCGGTGTTTCATGCCATTTGCTCTTATCTTTTTCATTCTCTCTTATTGTCTCATTTTTTCAAAAAATGCTATTTCTAGAACTACTGAATTGACTTTGAGACCTGCTGAGGAGTTGCGCCCCGGCAATGTGAAAACACTGTTTCGAGGTTCAAATGATGGG